TATTTTTCTTATCTTTGATTATTTAAATCATATACACACAGACACACACACACACACACATATATATATATATATATATATATATATATATATATATATATATATATATATATATGTGTGTGTATGTGTGTGTGTGTAGGTACCGATTTACCGATTTACTTGTTATAAACCATTCCTATTAAGAAACTATATTTATTCCTTTCATTGCAGTAACTCTTTAGATTATTTAAAATTCAATTGATCAGATTTATGAAGATAAAAATCAATCTTTTTTCTGATTGATATGATTGAGAATATTATAAATTTAAAATACAATGAATGTCTTTACATAGAAATATGTTGATATATTATTTACATTTATTATATATACTTATTATTAGGGGATCAATTCGTGACTTAAGAGCAACAAAAACTGATCCTCCACTTTATGTTCAGTAGAAACTCACATTGATACTACTTTATCCATGTCATCAGAAGTGATTATATATTTGGGTAAATTTACATTATTTACATTATTCGGACTGTTATCCTCACCTTTATTGCCATATTCACAACGTTTCGGCCGTTGTACGCTAGGGCCTTCTTCAGGTGATTGGAATATCGAACCGAACCCCTTATTTTGTCCACCGGAGTAGATTGTTCTAGTTCCACATGCCATGCCTCTTCCGGGTGTCTCAGTTATTTCCCTTTAATTCAACACTCCAAGTTTTTGGTTCATCACTGATGTGGCCTAGTATTCAACTCACAACTCTTTGGGTCTAGTCACTGGATCTAACCAACGTCCACTGGGTCATGTGTCTCAAGGACACCCAGTGGATAAAAAGTGATTGAGGATCATTTTATTAGTTAATAACAACAATTAGTATAAGATATATATATATATATATATATATATATATATATATATATATATATAGATAGATAGATAGATAGATAGATAGATAGATAGATAGATAGATAGATAGATAGATAGATAGATAGGGTAGGCTGATGAAATAAATTCGAGAGATAAAAAATAATAATACTGATAATAAGATTATTAACAAGATTAATAATATTTATGAGTAGGCTTTTGATCAGATAAAAGCACGATAAGAAAAAAATGTTAAAAATAGGAACTTTCGGACACGGACGTGTCCTTTCTCACCGAAAAATAATAGATGAAGTTGGCATGTGTTATATTACTGATTAAGTCTAGTAGTTTGAGGGCATCGTGGCAAACAACTAGCTCAAAACTACTTGATTTCATCAGTAATAGAACACATGGTACCACACCAATTTTATATTTGTAATCAAGCAATTTCCATAAGATATTCAATAGAAACACAGTAAAAATTTCAATTGCACCTAGAATATGACACAAATAATAAAAAACACAAGGAAACAGCCAAAAAACCACCCGAACAAACCAAAACCCACCTGTAGCTACAGAGCAAGGAACGGATGTCCCTTAAATGTCATTTGCTTGCAAAACAATATAATATACTTAGCCACTGTAAAATCAGTAGATAATGAAGAAAAATATAGATAGGAATAACTGAAGGAGTCTGGAAACAAAAATTATACAGACAAATCTTACTTTACAAATAATAAATACGCGAACAGCACATTGCTCTCTGAATATATATTTGAAATTAAAAACAAAAGCGCAATGACATGAAAAATATCCAGGAAAATGAGAATAACAACATCAGCCTACAACAATAAACAAAAAACCTGTAAATTTTGACTGGAAAAATAACTGTAAACACCTTCCCAGACGAACACAAATTAATGTTCAGAACTTATCTCAAAATGCAGACACAAAAACAATTTTTTACTATGTTACTTGAAAATCAAAAAGTAAAAACAAATAATTTTATAAAATATCATCATGAAAAATACAAATATATGCAGTGTATAACGCAGATAATGTAACATACTTGACACAAAGCCAATATTTTAAACTAAACAAATAAGATAACTAATCCCTGAAAAAATGAAATACGCAAAAAAACCTAAATAAATAAATAAATTAAGTAAATAATAAAAAATTAACAAATATAATCATCATTATAGAACATTAGTTTATTACATAATAACAATAGAAAATCGATACCCCACCTTCTGTAAAATAGAATTTTATATCAATAAGTGTTCACTTATTCTGTCAAAAATGATAGTTCATTTTGCTAAGTCCTTAAAGTTTTCAGATATTAGTTTCGTATATTTTTTATAAATATTTTATATTCATCGAATAACTAGAAAATTGTTATTCTCCTGTTATTTCCACAGGTTGTATAATAATTTTCATTTTTTTTATTATTCCAGATAATCCTTGCGGCAGCGAACCTTGTAAGAATGGAGCTACTTGTACCAGAAAAGGAAAAGAATATATTTGTACATGCAAAAAAGGATTTGACGGTTTCAATTGTGAAAAATGTAAGATTATTTCAAATTTAACTGATCAGATTTATGAAGATGAATATCATTTTTTTTCCTCATTAATATGACTGGAATATTATAAGGTTTAAGGAAATTTTAATTTATTATAAAAACATAGAAATCAATCCGATATCAATGAATATTTTATTCAAACCGGAATTATTGAATATTCTCATAAGCAGGTCACGTATTTAAGTGCTGTTAAGATTTTAAGTTAAGTTTCGTTGTTTCTGTGTGTTTTAAAAATTGTTTAGCCTTCATGCCTTAGAATCGGTTTTTTATTTTTATTTCCTTCACAGAGATGTTTAGTTACTTTAGAGTTACTTAACAATTTCCATGACAGTTATCTATTCATAATATCCAGTCAGTATTGTTATTATTAAGTGACAAAGCAGCACGCCAAGAAAGTGAAGCTGGGGTAGAAATATATTAAGCCCAATCTATCACGACACCCTTTCTGAAAAGAAAAAAAAGTGAGCTTGGAAAAAGAAAAGAAATATATTATTTTCCTCGCTCTACGAAGGAGCGCATCTATCAGGCTATTGTTCGCACTATCCTTCTCTATGGCTGAGAAACGTAGCCACTTAGAGCGGTGGACCTACGAAGGCTTGAAGTGTTCGACAACGATTGCCTTCGCTGCATTCTACGATCCCGCCGAATCAATCGTGTGCCCACAACCACTCTACGTCGTCGCCTGAGTCTCCTTCCTCTTCCACCTGCCCTGCTCCAGCGTCATCTCCGATGGTTCGAGCACGCAGCTCGACGCCCGGGGGGAAAGCTCATCCGCGATGTACTTCTCCCTCCTTCTCTTCCTGGCTCGCCATTTCGTGTGACCTGGCTCAGGATCGGCAGGCGTGGGCAGCGATGGTCCGTGATGCTGTACTTGCTCGGGAGGAAGCCGGTTCAACCCGACCAGGGTGAAAACCGATACAAGTCAAGAAAATCCCGCTCTCCAAGGCCCTCATAATATTAATCCATCCGTGATATACTAACACCTTAACACATCGGAAGGAAGAACTAGAATAAAACTAGAATTCCAAAAGTGAATTTTTCCTGAAATCATTTTATATACAGCACTAAAATATACAAATGTGTTATAAAAGTGCAAAACATAAAGTTATATATATATATATATATATATATATATATATATATATATATATATATATATTTTTAATATTTTTGAGGATGAATCTTTTTTCCAACAAAAAGATTCTGGAGAAAAGATTCATCCTCAAAAATATTAATGACCGAAATTTACTTAATAAACGAAATGAACTTATGTTAGCTTATAATCTCAGAAAAAACTCTCCTAAAGTATTTTAATTCTGGAGAAATAAATTATATAAATATCACATTCCCTTTATATATTTTAGCTTATATATTGATTACCTCCCTTTAACCATTTAAGCATCTATCAATATTTAACGAGCTACACGGCGTTCCTCTTTCCTCATTTAAAATTTAAGCTTGCATCTTTTTTTTCTTCTTTTTTTTTTTACATTAGCCCTCACCTATCTCTACATTTTGAATTTACACCCCAATAATATATTAAGTTTATATTAACTTTGAACTTTGAATCTGCGTTTAATTTAGCGTTCTTCCCGTGAGACCCAGTATTTTTAAAAAATAACCGTAATAGGCCTTCATTTACCAGTTCGTGCCTGATGAGTTGGTAAAACCATGAAACTTTAAGTTGCGCCAATGCAAAAAATGAAAAGGTCATTTATTAGGATTTTTTTTCAATACATCCCCAGTCAAGGCAATAAAGCCACTATGATGCAATGGGGTACTGAGTTTTATAAAAAAGAAACCTTATTAAGGGTATAGAGCAATAAAAAGAAACAAGAATTAAAAAGACAAGATAACAATTGACATTTCATTTTAATTTTTAAAGATCAAAGTTGACTGTGAAACAAAATGCCGGAAGAGAGTTTCACAAGAGATAAGTGCAATAGAAGAAACTGTTAGCATAGAACTTACGGTTATATCTGTAACTATAAAATCATGAGGCCTTACCGCCAATTTAGTAATACACTTAAATTCATAAAGTCTAGGCGCCAAATAGGAAAGCTCATCAGAACAATTATCCTGGAAATATTTATAGAAATGACACATGGAAGCTATAATTACTGGCCCAAAATGACTTACATACTTTTTAACTTCTTTACGGTTCTTGCTTGCAAATGTATAACTCTTTTTTTCTATTGTTAATTTTCCAGACAATCCTTGTGCACTAAAGCCATGCAAAAACGGAGCTGAGTGTTTCAACAGACAAAAAGAATACTTCTGCAAATGTAAACCACGTTTTATGGGGAAGACATGCTCTGAAGGTAAAGAAAAATGTAAAACTGTTAAGAATTATGCAAACAAAATAACAGAAGTCTTTTATAGATCACCGGTGCTGCGGTAATATCGTTGCTTCGTTCTTCATTAACTTATGGTCATATCGCGCTGAAAAACCTGTTCTCGTCCGATTACCGTTATGCAACGTCGAGCCTAGACAATACCTAGATAGGTGACCTCTTGGGAATATTGGGTGCTGTAAGCCTGGATATGTGGGCAGTGTGAAGGGCTTTCGACCATATCATGCTGAAAGATCGGTTCTCGTACGATCACCGAAGTTAAACAACGTCGAGCGTAGTCAGTACCTAGATGAGTGACCGCTGGGGAATACCAAGTGCTGTAAACTTGGAAAAGGCTATATCATGCTGAAACACCGGTTTTCGTTTGATCACCAAAGAAGCAACGTTAAGCCTGGTCAGTACCTAGACGGGTGACCGCTTGGCAATACCAGATACTGTAAGCTTAGACGTGCGGGCGGTGTAAAGGGCTTATGACGATATCACGCTGAAACACCGGTTCACGTACGGTCACCGAAGTTAAGCATTGTCGATTCTGGTCAGTACATAGATGTGTGGCAGCTTGAAAATACTAACTGTAAGGTTGGGTGTGGGCTGGTGTAATGAATAACGGCTCAGAATAAGAAATCGGAGAGCCGGGTTCAAATTCCAGTCGGATTCGTTATATTCACTTACGCGCAAATACTCTTGAGAAAAGAATAAATACACCTCTTCAGTTATGAGTTAAATAGTATGACTTGTATCAGAAAATCATTATTATCCACAAAGGTATTCTTACTGGCTTTAAATAACCTGCAAAAGGTTGATAAACCGTAACATAAATAAATCAATCAATCATTGTTTCGTTATTAATATAAAGGAAGGAATGATTGTAACATTGGGAGTTTGAAGCAGTGGAAAATAAATTATGGTTAATGATTAGGTTGTCTAGCAGACAACCTCAAACGAAGCTTCTTTCGCGCCACTGTAGATACGGTTTTAATGTATGGTATCACTGTTTAGACATTAATTAAAACTCTAGAGTCTAAGCTTGATGGTATCTACACTCGGATGTTGATAGCTATATTTAACATCTCTTGGAGATAACAGCCAACCACAGCTCTATGGACTCATCCCTGATATTTCTACAATCTTGCTTGAACGCAGAATGCTCTTTGCAAGACACTGCTGGTGAACAAAACAAGAAATTACGAGTGATCTACTGCTCTGGGCACCTAGTCAAGGAGCAAGACGGGCTGGTCGCCCCAAAACCACCTATACTGAACCGCTATGTTATGACAAAGAACACCACCCTAATGCCCTTCTGACCTTGAATACAGGACCGAGATGGTTGGTGTGATAGACATATGAATGTCCGAGCTAGCTCGACCGTATAAATAAAAGGACTGGGGAAAGAAAACAATCTCCTAAGAAACTGTCGTACAGTTAGGAGAATGAACACGAATTGCATTCCAGAAGTTTTAGAATTTATTTTTTAAGAGAGGCAGTTATAATTGTCTCAGATTATTGTAATTTTAATCTATCAGTACTATAAATCTAATAAGCTGACCTGCTAAATTTTGTTATTCTTGATTGAAGGAGACGGATGTAATCACTCTTTGAACACATTCTACTAAACATATAAGTTATATACGAAGTGCATTCCAGAAGTTTTGAGACGTTTTTTAGCTGAGGCAGTTATAAATGTCCTAGATTATTCTAATTTTAGTCTATCCTTACAATACATCTAATAAACCGACCTGTCAACTTTTGTTATTCCTGACTGAAGCGGACGGTTTTAACAGCTATTTGAACTCACCATCGCTAAAGATGTTGGGGAAATGATCGGTTTGCTGTACCGTTCCAGCAAGTACTTAACTCCTCATGCTATCCTTTACCTTTACAAAAGCCAAATAAGGCCGAAAATGGAATTCTGCTGTTAATGCCTCAAAAACAAAACTGCTCTTTATTACTCACCACAGAGAACCATCCCTGCCCCCCACAACCATTAGAATGTCTGACGCTCAACTTCACGAGAGCACCTCTTTGCGACTACTCGGTCTCACATTGACCAAATACATTGAGTGAATAGCTTCGTCCACTGCAAAGAAAGTTGGCTCCCTGTGCCGCGCCAGGAAATTTTTCTCGCCGGAGTCGATCCTTCAAATCTACAAATCAGCCATTCGCCATTGCGTGAAGTATTGCTGCCATATATGGTCTGGAGCCCCTTCTGTTTGTCTCAAGGTCCTTGATAAGATCCAGAGACAGATATGTAATGTAAATGGCCCTGATCTGGCATCTCGTCTGCAGTCTCTCTCTCACAGACGTGCCGTCGCCTCCCTCTGTCTTTTTTACAAATACTTTCATGGTAAATGCTCCGATGAGCTGCTTTCGCTGGTTCCCAGACTTCATGAATTTAAGCGTTCTACTAGGCTGTCATCTCGCTCTCACTCTTTCACTGTCGAAACTGTTAAATCTAGCCGTCTCTTCTACTCCAATAGCACTTCTCGCCTGTTGAACTCCCTCACCTTTTCCTGTTTCCCTGATAGCTATAATCTCCAACTATTCAAATGTAATATCAACCGACGTCTCCAAATGCCTTGATCTATCCTTTATTTTTCTCTTCATCCTTCCTCTATCACTCCTATTTGCTCTCGCTCCAACTCTCTGTAACTCCTTGCTTGCTAGTGGCTTCCAGCCTTGCTTGGGGTGAAACGCTTAAAAAAAATATATATATATATATATATATATATGTGTGTGTGTGTGTGTGTGTGTGTGTGTGTGTGTGTGTGTGTGTGTGTGTGTGTGTGTGTGAGGGCGGTACAGCCCATTCTTCACTTTCTACTCTCGATAGAGTTCAAAAGCGTCTCCGCGTCCTTGTAGGCGATGAACTATTTTTCACTCTGCAACCGCTTTCTCGCAGACGAAACAACGCAAGCCTCTGACTGCTCTATCGCTATTTCCATGGTGTGTGTTCGGACGAACTAAACCCCATAGTTCCACCAGTGCTAAGCTTCACGGCTAAGACCTGTCATGGCCCATTGTTGTGAACCACCCTCATCCATTCGTATACCACTGGTGAGATGTAAGGAACTGATGGAATACTGAAGCAGCTTTTTTTCTTGAACCGCTGCTTTGTGGAACCGACTCCCAAGAGGCTGCTTCCTCGAGCACTACAATCTTAAACTGTTTAGTCTTAACCGTTATCTTCCGTACATATCCGCATAAGCTGTATCTCTTACTCTGTAGTCCTTTACTTCGAGTGACACCAGGGCCTTGTACAGGATGAACACCACTGTAATAAAAGCTACTAAACACTGCTTGTCACAGCTGGCGAGTTTTCAGAATGCAATCGGGTTTTGAAAACAATTTGAATGCAATAATGTTTTATGTTAAACTAGGGAAAGCGCTACACAATCTTATGAAATGCGTCATACTGCTTATGGATTAACATGTATGAGCCGGGCATTTTTTTTTTTTTTTCATTGGCTCAAGAGGTTCAAAAACGGTAGAGAGGAGGCGAGAGACATTGAGAGATGTGGAAAGGAAAAAGATGTCAGAACTCAGAGCTAGTTGAGAAAATGCGTAATTATCGGGATTAAGACCGTCGTGTGTCTATAACGACAATAAGTATTCAGTTTGAAGTTGGTGTGGCAGCTGTACACAGAATTATTCATGAAGATCTGAACACGCTCCAAATTTGTGCAAAGTTTGTTCCCATGGTAATCAATAACGAACAGAAGGGAAGATGCATTGGTGTCAGCAGGGAGATGACTGATGGTCATCAAAACTGTCCCTCATCCTTCCTACAGTCCAGACCTTGATCCCTGTGACTTTTGGTTGTTCCCAAGCTGAAGGAGGATCTCAGGGGCAGTCATTTTGAACACATTGAAAAGATGAAAGCGGCCGTTCCCGGATACTTTCACATTGGATGATTTCCAAGGGGACTTCACGATGTGGCTGGAGGGCTAGAATAAGTGCATTGAAGTCAGAGAGTTCTACTTTGAAGGCGATTAGAGTTTTTGTACATCTTTAAGGTGAATAAATGTCTCCCCTGAACAAGTTCGAAATATTCTGGAATGCACCTCGTGCACCGTATTTCTGAAATACAATAGGGTCAGTTGACGGTCACAAGTTCCGATGCATTGGAGTCGGCCAGGCCGTCGCAAAATGTGGCGGGCTGAGTGCCTTTTTGCGGTGTCGTGAATTAACGAATCGACAGTTAGCGAGAAAGCGAGATGCCCTTGTAAATAAAAGGTTTTTTTCATACACTCAATTTTTTTTAATGAGATTTTTGCCTCTTAGCGAACACACGGCCTGAAACTGCTAGATAGTAAAGATCAAAAGTACTGGAAGTTTCTCTTCTCTCTCTCTCTCTCTCTCTCTCTCTCTCTCTCTCTCTCTCTCTCTCCTTCATTGACAAGTAACCGAAAAATGACCCCAAGAAGGGTAATAAAGGTGGTCAATACAGGTCCTGTGTCCTGTGAATTTTAACTCTACCAGAAAACAAATTTTAACCTGGTGAAAAGATGGCCAATATGGTTTTCAGCAAGAAGCAGAGACATTCCAACGTTGGTATATTGGCCTCAAGAAGGCCGTAGAAACAAACTAACTCTGCCCAATACGGAACAATAACAGTGCTTACCAAACACTCATTCGAACCACACGTCCAAACACATATGCTGCCCTAACAATGTCGCAGATTTATAAAACATTCTTTCTATAACAATTGCTACATTTGCATATGTATTTCATTTAGTGAATGTAGCAACTATTATGGAACAAAAGTAGAGCTGTTATTAACTTGATTATCTTAAACCATTAGAAATTCGATTTATTTCCATATTTAGCAATGGATTCTGAATGGATTTATTTTTAATTCGAAATTTGTATTACTCCAAATGTTATCTTTAGTAAATAACCGTATTTGAAATAAACGCCCTGGATTTATATTAAATAGTGTGCATTACTTCTATCGGTCTGAGTACTCGAAAAAAACTCAATAAATATGTGTTTTCTCCAGTATATAGTTAACTGTCTATATATGGTATACAAGACCTTTTATATATTTATCATATTGTCTTTTAACCTGTGAGAATTTTGTTCATTTGAACATTAAATCATTTTCTTTTCTTTTTCAGTGAAAATTATAAAACTAAAAAAAGGTTAGTATGTTATCATTACATTTATTTTTCATTTTTTTTAATTTAAGAGTAAATGGCAATATTTTGTTGTTTTTTAGGGATCATTGTTCTGCCATCCAATAACTCAGATTCACTCGCTGTTTCCACCCGCTTCTCTTTCTTTCATTATTCCTTAAATTCCCTATGCATTATTTTCCCATTAT